TCTACTTCTAAAAAATGCTTTCTGAACTCCAGTGTAAAAAGCAACTTTTTGAATTTCAGAGACTGCATAATTATTCAATGTAGTGTTTTTCGATGGTGACATAATACAATTCAGCACATCGGACTTTACTACTACTACATCAAAAAGATGCCAATATACCACCATTCTTGGACTACTGAATAAATTTAACTTTACTAATAAAGTAAAAAAATATATATATGACTAATGAAATAGGAGGAAAAGTTATTTCTATATCAAAAGTAATGGAAAAAATTTTGAAAAAAATTTACTTTCACATCCAAAATAATAGAAGGTTTCTTTGCTTTTTTCTCAGCATAAGCTTTCAGCTTCCCGTTTGATATAGAAATAACTTTTTCTCCTATTTCATTGGTTTATATATTTTTTCTGCATCTTCTTCATCCGATGATCTAAATAAATCGAAATTCTCTTTTTTAATGGTTTCTGAATTTCTAATGACTTTGTCAAAGCAGATAGACGAATCTCACAACTCTAAAATAATAGTATGATTATCCAGAACTTCAAAATTTTAAACCATCAAAAGATTCTGCAAACTGACTACGAAAGAATATGTTTTAAATATTTAATAATTTAGTAAGCTTGCATTGCGAAGAGAAGCGTTATTTTATATGACGATGGTGATTATGGTAACTTTCATAAAAGTCCTTATAGACGCTATGGAAAAAATTCAGGATATTGGACTCCATTATTATAACAACAAGATACCAATACATTATAATTTTTGACTAATAAATTTATTTTTTTTAAAGAATACAAATAAATGTAAAGATAAAAACAAATGCTGAATAGATACACTGAAACAAAAAATTTTCAAACTAGATCACAATTAATTGCAGATTCTGCTTGATGAAACGATCACTAAGCGTCTTTAATTACAAAGATTTCTGGATAGCTCTGTTATTTTCAGCTGGATACCTCCAGCTTTGCCACACAAAACAGCAAATGTGATTAGCTTCCTAAATAATATATTCTCCTCTATGTTGCTTAATGTTGTAAAAAATAATATGTTGTCTACGATTTCATAAAAATCCACTAAAGTATGCCCACAAAGTTTTTCAATCAAGAAAAATGAAACTCTCCAACTCAATAGCTCTTTCTGGATTTAAATAAATAATTGGTAACACTCTATAAAAAAATGGTAGCCATCAATGACCCATTTTTCTGATTCTATAAATCTTATTTTTATATTCAATGAGTTGTTTGATTTTAGTGATGATTGAAATTTTAACGAAAGTAAGAGTTTCCAGCTCAATTTTATCGTTAATCGTTAAAAGATCGTTCCGAATTATAATATTCTGACCTAATAGATCGAGGGAACAATTCTGGATGAAAAATGGAAGAATAAATTATTCTTCAGCAGCTATATAGATAATATTCTAAAAGGCAATTGGTATTAAAGAGATATTGCTAGCAAGATTTTATGAAATACTTTTAAATCTTACAAAAGCATACCAGAGAAAATGTTGCATCAACACAGAACAAATTTAGAGAAACCAAAGCAAATATTTGGAACTTAAATAAAAGGTGTGAAAAATATTAACTCTTTCTCTTAAAAAATTCACTGACCTGGTGGGTATAATTCAGTATCTTCTGGAAGTCTCCATTTAGTTTCTGGATTTCATTTCGCATTTCATTACCTATTTTCTTTAATGCGACAACTTCTCCAGTTAATTTCGCTAATGTATCACTAGCCAGATCTTCTAAAAATGAACTAAAAAAAAAAACGAATTGAATCCATTTGATACAGGTTATGAGAATAGCAATAATGACAGGTAAAGGATATATTTCTCAAGAAATAAAAACAACCTGCCGATGATATGTTAAAAATTGGAAGTTAAAAAGAGTGTCGTTTTACGACATTTTACGTCATATTACGTCACGTTATAATTAGTTAATAAAATTTTTTGCTAACTGGAATATTCTACAACAAGAATAAAATAAATACATTTAAAGTAGAAGAAGACATATTAATGAAGTTGGTAAATTTAAGTAATTTTAATATGATTAATCAAATCTTTCTTTAGTTGAAATAACAAAATTGTGATAATAAAATTAATGAAAATGTAAATAAGGGATATTGTAATTGTTCGAAAAAGTTTATTAATTAAATAATTGAATAAGATAAGCTCTTACTAAATTGTTTCAAAATTTGCATAACTGATGGCAAAAGAAAAAGATATACAAAATATTAAAAGCTTTAAAAAAAAAAAAATAAAAAACAAAAAACATAATTTAAACATTAATTTAAAAGAATCATATCACAAAATGAAAAACTAACATCACAGCTATTCACTTAAGTTATATTTTTTTTTACAATGAAATGTCTTTTCAATCATAAAATAATACGGCAATTTTTTAAAGAAAAATTTATTTCCAAAATGAGAAAAACGGAATAATATCGAGTTAAGTGAACATCTGCCTACAAGGATTGAAAAATATTACTTAAAAGTGAATTTTTTTCTCCGTTCTACAAAGTGACAATATTTTGAGGAACGGAAAATGAAAAATTGCTAAAATTTAAATGATGAAAGATATTTACTTAATACAATTTTAAACAAATGGTTCAGTCGATATGTTACAAATTTCTCGAGACATGCTGTCATAAAACAATCTCGAGACATGCTGTCATAAAACAATTTACTGGTCTATTATTATTCCTATTATTCTTATTATAATATATTATTGTTTCTATCATTATTATTATTAATAATATAATATTGTTATTATTGCCATTATTATTAATATCATTAATTATTTACTCTCTCTTAGGTATTCTCTAACTTTCAAAGTTTTATTGGTTAATCTTGAAATAAAATTGATTTTTACAAATAAGTTTTTTTAATTGTTTTGTTAATTGAGAAAATATTATACACCTGACATCTCCTTAAGTATAGCACACCTCTCTCAAATAATTTTTTTTTTTTCACTACAGTTCATGTACACTTAAGAATTCGTTAGATTACTGATAAATCTCTCTCTTCCTCTCTTAACCCATTTATGGCATTAATAAAATTATTCTGAATAAATAATATTTCTTCCTTTACTTTGGTAATTATTTGCTTATCATTAATTTTTTTTATTTGCCCGTTCTTCTGTTTTTTATCATAATAATCGTCATTTTCTTTTTCGTTTTTTTTTTTTTTTTTTTTGCATTGCAAAATTTCGTTAAAATCCAATTTTAATTGTTTCGATCACTTATAATGAATCGATCATTTATTGATTATTTGACTTTATTATAATTGAAATATAAGATTGACTATCGATAAAATTGGAACACTAATGAAATATGAAACTAATTGCAAGTAGGAGGAAAAATAGAGAATGGTTAAATTCTACTCAAATATAAGTAAAAATTAAACAAATAGAAATAAAAGTTATTTCGAAATTTAACATTAATTTGAAAATATAAAATAAAATTTGCTGTAAAAAAAAAGGTAGAAAATTTAGCAAATTGTTATTCATACATTGTCATTTACATAGCGATTATTTATCAATTATTATAAATGTAACCCTTTTAATATCTCTAACACATTGTTAAAAAAAATTGGTGAGATAACCATTTCCACTTTTTTTAGATTCTACGAAATTTTAGTACTGTTTTCGAAGAAATTTAAATAAGTCCACTGAACTGCTATCTTGATAAATATTTGGTTATAAATTTATTAAAATTTAATAATTAAAAAAAAAATTCTTCACAAAAATCGTTTGCAAACATTCAGCAGTTAACCAATGAACTGTTGCAACAAGCAATAGACTACGCAGTATGAAATTTATTCGATAAAAATATAAATTCATGAGGCTTAATGCTTTTTAACCATAAAAACGAGAAAGTCCAAAGCATAAAGGATAACAGAAACCAGATGGGTAACATAATGCATTAGAATTGTGAAAATTTCTTTTAGCCTATCTTCTTCAAATGTCCATTTATTTTTTTGTTCTTTTAAAACGAATATTTTTTTTTCTCTTTTTCCTGTTTTTCTATTTTTGAAGCCATATTCAACAAAAATTTCAACAAGTTTTCAATTAAAAAAAATAAATAAGAACAAGTATGAACAGAAACCTTGACTTAGATGAGTTAGATTTAAAAGAAAAAGCACTGTAAAGAGTGGCTACTACTTAGCTCGAAAGTACTGCCAAAATAATGATAAAAAGATATTGATGCCAAGCACAAATTTCGATTTAATCTAGTGGTTTTGACAATGATAAGTAAAATAGACAAATTTAGTGAGAATTATAAGTGACAACAGTGTTGGAAAGAATTCGTGAGGAGATTAAAAATTATATCGCAAAATTGATAGGAGATTAAGTAGTTGAAAAATAGAGAAATAAAGGCTATTTTGAAACGAAATCTACATTTGGAATTTTCAGTGTCGAAAGATTTTTTAAAGACTAAAAAAGACAATTCCTTCTCATTTAAAAAACGACTTACAAAATTTTTACGAATAATCTTTATTTTATGAGATATCTTAGTTATACTTCAACTATGTCAACATAAGCCCCTTCTCTACAGAGAGCAATAAAGATTGCAATACAACTCTTAAAAAGAGTTAATAATATTTCATCATGCTGCAATTTTAAGAAAAACCTAATATTAATATAGATAAAATAGGAATTAATGCTCTCTTGAGAAGAAAGAATTCATATCTACTAATTCTTTAGTGATAATATCACTCTTTTATGCAAGGTCAGGATTAATTTTTTTAAGCTTTTCAGCAGTGTTGCTGTTAACGTCTATTTCTATTGCATTATATGAAAGGCTATCAAGCGCCTTCTTTACTGCTTTTCCACTCATCAGTGATATTTTCCTTTCACGAGAAAATCCACCGCTTAAAATTGTTATAAATTTATTATCAAATTCAATCAAGTTTACTCCTAAGGATGGTTTAATAAGAATGGTGATTAAGGAAAACATAGAAAAAAACTTATTGACTATTGAATTTCATGACAATGGGATAGGGATAATGCAGCAAGACATATATAAAGTTATGTCTGTTTTTGGCCAAGCAGATTCAGGATATAGAAATGAAGGTACTGGTATTGGATTACCACTTAGTAAAAAATTAGTAGAATTAATGGGTGGCACTTTCAACATCAAAAGCGAAGCAAAACTTGGTACTACAATAACGTTAAACTTCTTTTATGAAGAGCAGACATGTGAAGATTTGATTGATTTTTAACTAGAATTCTTGAAAACTCTGACTACAATTTATTATAAGTATTATTAACGGAGAGAGATGTGGAATTGGCAGTAGGAAATAATGCGGATTAATACGGATTAGTCCTATTGGTGAGAAATTTTCTTGTAATATCAATGTATCGGAAATTTTGATGAAATTTGCCATATCTTTGTTTGCTATAGCAGAACACAAATTATCAGGTGTAACATAATCATTGCTAAAAGTTGAAAGACACAGCTCTATATCAGCTGGTTTGAGATCTTTTCTCTCTCCTAGATATAAAACTAATTTCTCAAGTTCTGAATGTATAGGTAGATTACTATAATTGAAGTAGGACTGTAAGTGGTAAATTATCTCATTTGTATATTTTATATCGTTTCGTTTCAAGTAGCTTGATATAATATCGTAAAGGTTACTACCACTATTCTTGTAACAAGCAATTACGCCGAAAGTTTTTGAGCTTTCTATGTAACTTTTAATTGTGGGATTATATGAAAGATCAGTTGCTATCATTATTACATAATGACCGCCTGCATTGTAATCCAATACATTTTTTAACTCTTTGGATATATTCCCAGTTACATTTATTAGCTTAATTAGCTTCTTACTAGTAGACATCGAAATGTTTGCCAACTCAGAAAATAATAGACCAGTTGACTTATTCACCATTGCGAAATCCATCATCTGAACTGAATACTCACTCAGACTGGCAACTATTTCTTGCGTAAAAAAATCAACTTTGCTATTATCATTCCCATGAATTAACACACCACTTAAAATATCTGGTTTCTCTAGGAATTTTTTGACCTTAGACGGTGTGACCTTCATGTACTCTATATAATATCATTGTCATGTGTATGAGTGACTAATTCATTTTGCTGTATGTAAGCTAAAGATTCTGAATCTTACAGCTTTCAGAAAAAAGTTGAGTTCATAGAAGACAGAAGGTCTACAAAACTCAAAGTCAAATACGAAGATCAGTATTGCGCATGTTCTGTAGATTTCGTTTGAAGAAAATTAATTTTAGCAACTATAATTTTAGATTGGAAAAATTCCAACAATAAGTAACACATAAGAATTTATTGAAACAAAAATGGACATTGCATGGAACTGACAGGAAGTATTAGTTTTTGAAAATCCCACGGAGTGCTTTTTTCATACGAGACGACTTTTCAGAGGCGAACTACTGGAAATCAAAAGCAATTGCTCGGAGTCATTATAAATTTCAAATGAATTACAATTCCTAATAAACTAAGCACTAAACACAGATAAGGGAATTAACCACTGAAGCACAGTTGGAGACATTTTCTGCTTTTGAAAGTAAAACTATTACCTTGAGTCTTGTTGTGAAACAGTCCGGGTGCTTCGACGTAATTCAACTACTTCGCCCGTGAGTGAGCTGTTCCAAAGTAAGCTGGTCTCCTTGCAATATTCAACGATTTCCTTTCTTTTTGTGCGTGATTAATTTTCAGATTACAACAAAAAAATTGGCATATCTTAAATTAGCATCAAATATTTGCAAAAAAATATCTGGTTCAAAATTTCATTCTAAAAGCATAGTGAGGTTGTATATTAACTCAAAAGTGCTGTCTCAAAAGCGCTGTCTGGAAGAGTTCGAAAGGCTTTTTTCCAGATAGCTTGCAAGGATCGATACACTGCTGACAAGCTAGTTAACAAGTATATTAAAACTTCGGATCTGATTAAGGGACAAATCCCAATGAATGATGCATCTAGTGAGTGCACAGTCATATGCTACTAGGGAAATGGTTTTGATAAAACTAGCTAGTTTTAGTGCTTAAATTTGACGTAACTGTTATGAACTTTTCACAAAAAGTTGAAATAGTCTTTTATCATTCATATAACTGACCTCCGATTGCCGCGCAACTAATTTTTCTTCACGTTCCATTACTTAGTCTTCGAAAAACTAAAGAGAAATAATTCATGTCGTGAAACCTCAAACTTGGGTAATTAAACCTTTATTTAACATGAAGCAAATAATAGCGCTTTATACATATCGTACGGATGCTACACCGATTAACAAACGCGTAAGATATAATTATAAAACATTAAAATGATATCAAAACCACCCCAAAATGCAGAATGAACCACCGTATGGAGGACGATGGTTTATATGTATAACTGAGCTGATCAGATATCCGACAGAGGATATTTAACTGATGTGAAACAAAGACTGCTAATAAAGGGTTTTGCTAACAAAGGGTTTGCTAACAAAGGGTTTGTTGTGTGAGGAAAAGGAATCAGATAAGAGTAATTTGTTAGTTTTGGATATAATAATTTAAATATTTCGTCTTTCACGACAATTCATATAGATTTAAAGAGTGTTAGCATTAATTTATAAAAATATCTACAAAAGATCAACCATAAAATATTCATGGAAATAAATTTTTTCAAAGCTTACTTTTTCCATATTGAGTTTATGTTCCTCAAGTTCTTTTCCCTTACCTGTTTCTCATGTTCCAACTGTGTAAAAGGATCTCTGAAACACAACCGATTGAATTCAAGGTTAATCCATTAAGCCAAAAATAGAACGGTTAAAAAAAACACCGAGTTACAGGCTTCAGCAATTTCTTACTGCTATTCAACTTACAAGAACAAAATCATGAATAAACCAGTCATTGTTTGAATTATTTTATATCCATTTTTTTCGTACTAATTCCACTAAATGTTCATCTTCCCAAATAATGATAGGTATACAAATAAAAAATAATAGGCATACAAGTACATGGAAAGAGTACAATGTTCCATTTTAAAACGTGGAATGAAAAGTGAATTCTTGCCGTATGTATTTTCTCTATCAAACAATAACTATTTGAATTGTGGTATATTATTGGTAGCAGATGATAATAATATTCCACACAGAAAAATTGCAATCGAATAATCATGGATTACCTGTCTATTGCATCCTTTGGTCCTTTGTTTAACTGCCAGTAGTGAAAATTCTCATGATGCACACTACGGATTATTGCGATCAGATCTAAATTCATCTTGAATTTTTTGATCCTTATTTGCAAAGCAATAAAAAAGCCATCCGAATCTTTGTTCCCTAAATTTCTTAGCTTTATTAGTACCTTATAACGGTGTCACGTAAGGCGATAAAGTCGTTGTGATGCAAATGCCAAACTGTCTTTTCTCATCCTCATCTTACAATTTCATACCACTTTCTTCAATCTCTTTGATTATCTATAAAAAAAAAACTAAACAATCAATTATTTAGAAAAATACTAAGCAATTATGATTAAATAAGAAGTCAGTGCAGCCGATTATGTCATTCTAGTCCAAGAAAAAGTTGTTTTTACCCTTGAATAAGCATTACAATCACGAATCAGATAAAGACTGCATACCTGCTAACTATAAATACAATTAATTTTACGATTCAACTTATATGATAATGAAATGACCCCTCGAAATTTAAAAATCTTTTAATCGTCTTTGAATTCATCGATATTGTTTACTTTCTTGCAAAACTATTCATTTTTCATCATGGCAAGTACAAAGATTATATTGAACTATTAGTTTTATTCATCACTGCAATATATCTGTAATTGAATGAAATGAAAGAAAGAATTAAAAACAAACTTTAATTTGTTAAACATAATAGTTTTAATATTTTTTAAATTACTTGATTTTTGAAATATTTTTGAAAAATTAAAATATGATAGCTCGTTCACTGTCAACGTATCAGCTTTCTTAATAACTGGGATCACATTAACACGATCATTAGCTTCTTCATTATTTCAATGCCAAATTGTTTTAATCTGAAATTCTTTAACTAATTGCTTGTTCAACATCAACTGACTCGTTATTCATTAGTTTTTTTATTATTCACCAGTTTTCAGCTATAACATCGAATAAATAATACTGACATCATAAACATAATTCCACATTCACTGTCAGATAATTTAGTCAAAGTTGACTAGTTCCAAAATTTAAATAAAAAATTTTACCCATGCCCAATAGGGTTGATGAAGTATAGGCAAAGATGCACAAGCTTGTCGGGAATTATTGCTGCATTTCAATTTTAGCTTCTTCCGAAAAATAATCAAAATATTTTTTCTCAATGTAATTTACGATCGGTTAGCAATTGCAAGCTCCATTACATTTTTAAAATGGAAAGTCTGAAACGGTAGTATTGTGGGCCTCCATCTGATTGAAAACAATGAAGTGATGAGAATATTAATAAGAACACAATATAAAATTTAAACTATCAAAAGAAAGTAATTACTGACCGCATCACCAAAGCCTGGACAAAGCCTGGACAATCAACCAATGTAAGGTTTAAATTACACCGTTCTCCATAAACGTACAATTTTCTCTTCAATTTTTACTGTTCGTGAAATGTGCCGTTTTTCTGTATTTAAGTCTTTAATTTCCGTGGAAAACAATGAATTGATAAATGTGAATTTACCAAGACCAGAACAACCTGCCATACAAAATGATTTTTTTTACAAATCTTTTTTAGAACAAAAACAGCAATTAGTATATTGTTGATACTGCATATTGAAAGCGAGATGAAGTGATCTTGGATGTAATAAATAATGAACGAGGAATTCAATTCGAAATTAAAGCTATAGCAAAACTGGTAGATAAAAATAAAGGATATATGTATATATAAATCGCAAACACTTAAATATAACTAGCAAAATTATCGATTCATGTTACTATTATTCAAGCGAAATTTATATATATATGGGGAAACTAAAAGGGATACAGTGAGTAAAATCCTTATAAATTCAGAGATACAAATTTTGGCAGCTCGCTGTTGAAACGAAACAAATCATATGGAAAAACTCCACAATGAAACAGGCTCGATTTCATGTCATATTATGTACAATAGTAAACAATCTAATAAAAAATTGTTTTATTATTTTTCATTAGCTTGTAGACTTTTCAAATGTAATACAGTTATTACTAATGATTTTAGTCCTCCGAAAATATTTGCAGCTTTCCTTTTTATATCCAATATAATTTTGATTAGTCAATAAAAATGAACTACTAACAACCATCAGCGTGAATCAAAACCATTTTTGACAACACGTCGAAATACTTGGTTAGGAAAATTACAGAACCAACATAACTATGAGCATTTTTCATTTCGAACCATTCAATGATTTTTTCTACAAACCTGAACCATTTATGTTGATTTGCATGGTTGCAGTCATAAACAGAAAGCGAAAGGGTAAAATAAAATGCTGTTTTCCTGAATTTATCACTTTTCCAATTTATTTCACCTCATGCAATTATTGCTCTATAACACTTCACCATGAATCATGATTCGCTATCTATTCACTAATATATTCGCCATGATAGAAATTGATTTAACGTTGATATGATTTGAAAAATCTAGCATAAAATTTCATTATTTTACAATACTTTAGTGAAGCTTATCGATAGTGCAATATGACATAATGATACATTATTATTCACAACTTAATACATACTGTTTTAACTGTTTAAGCGAAATTTTATCATAGCAACTTGTCATACTGCACTGCCGGCAGGCTTCAATAGTATACATTCGTGCATTATCATTCTTGTTAAGCAAAACTCAGCAGCGATATTTCAAATTAAATATATAGTTCTATCACTTTGTAAATTTTTCGCATGTAAAACGCTAAATTTGATAGTTTCCCTAAGTTCTAGTAACTATTGATCTAATTATTACACGTTAGCAATAATATTTTATGCAAATCGTAGTTACAATCATCAACTGCTATAATCATCAAACGAACTACTACAAACAGATTAGTCCATTTATAATGATTCGTTTGACGATTAGAACTATTCATTTGATCATTTGTATAATGATTTTAATACTTACGTAACAATAAATCAGCAAATTCTCACACGCATGACAAAAAAATGTGCGAGTCCGCATTTCATCTGAAAACCCCGGAGCTTTGTGTGTTCTGAATGTAGGTGAGCTGGATATTTTCGTTGGATTTCATGAAATTTCGTCCGTACTTACCGATCGATAATCGATATTGATTAGATTATCACACTTCATGCAATGACCATACACTTGCAGCTATTATACATTTCAATTTCTTCATTCCCAGTTATTTCATATTAGAAAATTATTCGAATCGATTTAATTAGGCCTCATATTTACAACAATAAGTGTTGTGAATTTGGCTTTCTCATTACTTTCATTGCTTTAAATCATAAATAATTGTTCTATGCTGTAAAATTTAGCAGGAAAAAAGGAAAAACGTCAAAATATTTGGTAATAAGAACAAAAAGAAAACATTTATTGTCTGAAATAATAAACATGGAAAGTATACTAAACATTTTATTGAAAACTTCAACATTTCATCGGTTATTTGATATTACTCATTCATTAATTGCTAAAATAATTCATCCATTCATTGCTTCGTTTTTTTCTTTTTTGAACGAAAAAAATGACATTATCAGAAGTACTTTCACATGTAATAATAAATACCTTAGAAAAAAGAACGAAATACTGTAAATTGTAAGAGTTGATACTCAACAATAAAAAAGACTATCGCCAGAGTGACTGCCGTAATGATTTAGGATAATTAATTCATTTTATATATGAAAAAAAATATATATATACATATATCAATAACACGTAAATTGGAATTTTTTAAAATGGTAAAGTTTAATTGATCAGTTGCAATCTGAAAAAAAAAATCTTAATCCGAATCAGACATGCAAAAAAAAAATGCTGCCAGAATATTCAATTATTTGCTTTTTTGATTAAAATTATAAAAATTGTTCTTTTCTTTCTATTTCATTCCTAACATTTTCTACATAATAATAATTGAAATCAAAAATTGGAGGTGAAAATTTCGGTAACTTTTAAAAAAAAAAACTGCATGCCTTCCAATATTCAACAAAAAAAAACATTAGAGCAGATAGGAAGGAAAAAAGAAAACATAATTCATTGGAATATGTACAAAATACAAATAACAACATAGTAAATGAATCAATACTAATAATAATTTGAAACACAAATGGGTAGAATATTCCTGTTTATTTACAAAATAAATTTCTTAAAAGAAAATAATAATATTATAGATCGCATAGTGAATATTAAATTATTATAAAAATTTCTTGTCGTCTTTTTCCTTATTAACAAATATATTCATTATTTATGCTTTCAAAGAATGAAAAAAAACGACTTCTATAAATTGAAATCTTTTTTTAATTTTTATATTTGTGCATGGTATGTTTATTGATGGTTAGCTTTTATTAACAGCAGTTTGGTGAAATTCGTCGTTTCTTAAATGAATTTAAGCAATTATCATTTCTTTTTCTGATTATCGGAATTTAAAAGTATCATGATTTTAAAATCCTTAATTTGTCATCATTAAATAATAACATATATAAATTAATATAAAGATTGCATAATGAATTGAAACAAGTTAAATTTAACGACTAAACACTATCATCAATTATCGCAATAAAGCTGAGCAAAAAAAGTTGTTATATCAACAAATGTATCATAAAGAAATTATTAAAAAAGTTAGAATATACTATAGAAGACAAAAAACAGTCAGTTCAGTAGATTTTAACAAATGGAATTATTAATTGCTAAATAAACATGTTATTACACTTCTTGTTTTTAAGAGTTTTTCGAATTTCCTGCAGTGTAGGCAGAATTGTTCGTTTTCGAGGTTTCTAAATAACAATCACAATTGAAATGACATAGATTAAAAGCAATGTTTCATTAATATTTTACTAGCAACCTATCGACACAAAAAGTTAAAATTTGGAATCATTTATAAAAAAAATTCATTAATATTTTACTAAAAAAAGAATCTTCACAAGAGGAGCATAAATTGAACCAGTCTACCTTGATTGACGTTCATGTTCATTTTCTTTCTGCAATGTTTTATTCAAACACTTGAATTATTTGTTAATAGATCTAGGAACAATTTTGATTTCAAAAATCGCCTATAACTATCTTTTTCCATTAACTGCTCAATTCTGGTTTGCGCTAACGAAAACATATTTGGTTTAGCACCATTTTCCAGAGCTGCTTTTGTTGCTGCACATGTATCACTGTCTAAATCAACCTAAAAAAAAATTTGGAAATGATATATCAAATTAAAAAGAAAAAAAGGAATCAAATTTAGGTGATACAAATAATTTGACTATTACAAATTTTAATCAAACAAATTTAGAAATGATATCCATTTTTGTTAAGCTTCTTAACTCTATATTCCATTTCATGAGCTATAAAAACTTCATTGAGGATTTTATTATTTATTTGTGATACTGATAAACAAATGATAATGCAAACCTCTTTTGGTGATTGTTCAGCAATATATTTATTGCATATAGAATGCGCTTTTTGAATTGTTGACTTCTTTCCTTCTTTCATCTTTCGAAATTCTTCACATTCAATCCAAAAATTAACATTTTCATCGCTGAATTCTCCTTTTAAAAATGTCCGAAACAATAGAACCATCTTAAAATGATCCAATTTATGTCTATATGAATATATCATTTATTGGAGAACATTATGTTCCAAATATCATTAATTTATTTATAGCTCATTGCTGATGAATTTAATTTGAATTATTCCCGCAAGACAAATTAATTTAGTTCAGAAAAAAAATGCAAAACATATATGATGTCTCAATTCAAAAACTAAAATCAACATACATTTATGATTTAGTAGACGTTCGAATGACTCCTCTATTGCATGATTTCTTCCTTGTACTATATGATTCCATTTTACTCGTAATGAAATCCAACGTTTTTGCAAATCTACTACTGCAATCATCCTCGTTAAAATTTAAAGTATAAAAAATATAAAAAGAATGCATTTACATTCTTTTTCATTTTTCATAATCTACCAATGAAATGTTTTTAATTTTAATTTTAGCATTTAAGATTGAAAGTTGAAAAAAGATTACAAACTTCTACGTGAATAATCAAAATTGAAAATCAATAATAATAACTTACAATCTTCTCTTCAGTTCGATATCATGCACTTGTAATCGTTGATTTACTTCATCTAAACATCCTTTGGGAAAAAGTGAATGATGCTGTCCGCCTTACAGAATTTATAGAATCCTATAATAGAACATGTATAACTGAAAAAGGAAAAATATTAATTAGTGAAACAAATATTATATGTGTTAGTGGAACAAACTGAATTACGCATGGAAGAGGATTTTTAACCGTGTATTCTAATTTATCAAAATTTTATGATTTCAGAATGTCAGATATCAGATGAAAGCTTAATATTTATTCACATATCTGATGCTCTCTGACATTGCTTTTTTAAACATTACTAATGAATAGCGATAATATTTGGTAGATACAATGTGAAAGAATGAATATTAAAATAATTAAATATTTAAATTGTATTAGGTGAAAGACCATTAATTACCAAAAGTTTTACTAAAATTATAGATGTAAAAAACTTGAAAATTTTTAATAATAAGATAACGTATGAAGAAAAGCATAATCTATAACCTCGGAAGTTTTTTCTGTCTCATTTGCGCATAGATACTGAACATTTGTAGAAGCGTTAGTAGATTGCTTCAGATCTGCGACACTGGATCCATCTGATGTTAAATCACTTATGATGAAATTAAATTAACTTCAAGAATTATTTTATTAAAATCATTAAACTAATTATGTATACAAAAAAAAAAAATTATGAAATTAAAACCATTTAGCGCAAAATTAAATCAAAATATTTATTAGTCTGCTTGAAAAGCCAGTTCTTCAATGAACAGTCATCAGTGTTATTGAAATTAAAAAAAAAAGAACAAAAAAAACGTAATTTAAAAACCTGTAATAAAAAAACAAAAAACAAACTTGTAATAGTGATGAACGGTACACCAATAGGTTTTTGATGTAAATTTTCACTAATTGTTGTACTGGATGTAATACTTGAAGTCATTCTAAGCTTGAAGTCATTCTAAGTCATTCCGTCGAATACTAATTGGTATTTTGGTTGCTGCAAGTGATGTTTTGCTTCATATGCAAATTAGTGATAGAAGCATCTTCATCACTTCTCGAACACCTCGTGCCACATGGTTCAACATCATATGTCCAGCCTGGTTTGCTACACTGATGTTTAGTTGATAATAATGAAGTTGCATAACCATTTGATGATAGCGATAAAGATGTTGTTTGATTGTGATGATGATGATGATGATGATGATGACGACGTGTTTGTGAATTATGACTATTCCAATCCGAATTACGCATTATCTAAAATTATAAAAAAATATTAAATAATATTAAATTGTTGAAATCAAAGAAGGGAATATATGAAATAATTATAAAAATGAAGAAAATATCAAATTGTGATTACAATTGTAATTACCAAGGAGTCGGAATAATAATATGCATTCCAAATTTTAGGTTAATCATCATCATTATGCAATCATTATGCACTGATAGAAAAAATTCATTACAGTGGGGAGGAAACAAATTTATTTGGATGCTTCGTAAATTTATACTTTATCAAGGTGATGATATCACATTTTCCTACCACTTCCTCTCTCCTTTGCCTTTCATTTCTTTTAATTTTTTCGCTGGCATGATTTGAAATTCGGATATGAAAAAATCGATTTTCCAAAGTATAACATTAAAATTGAAAATAACAAATTTTTCAAAGTTTCCCACAGCATGAAAAAAATAGAAGGAAAGAATTTGAAAAAAACACAAACTTTTCATAATTAATATTTGTAATATTAACAAAAAAGCTCATCCTTTTGAAAAATATCAATCAGTTGGAATGAAAAAAAGATGAGAAACAGGAACAGAAAGCTTTAAATGTATAAAAGCATAAAATATTAATGTTGTTTTAGAGATAGGTTATCTAGTTATAAATAATCCTCATTTCACATAGTGGTTTTTTCAAACAAAATTTGTTCATGGATTATTTCATTGAAAAATCAAATTTTGAAAACAAAAACACTGCATTGATAAAAAAATTGACAACAGCGATAAATGAAGATGAATCAGTGCATTATTATTTTAAATATATTATACAATACTTTTCTTATTTAAAAAAGATAAAAATATATGAATACTTCTACTTTTTTAATTTGATTTTTTAGAACGAATTTTTCATCATTTTTCACTATGATCACGATAATAGATGTACATAACAGTTGTCTATCTCGATAATTAAAAGATAATTGCAAAAGAAATACCTATATAAAATTGCCACATTCACATTATTCTGCAAGCTTTTTCAAATTAAATTTTAAAAAATTAGAGAAAAAAACCTTTTAAAATATATCAAATGATAAGGACTGAATGCAAAAGTTGACAAGCAAAAATAATAAAAAATTTTTCATCAACATGAAAAATACTATTTCCAATGATAATAAAAACAAATAATTTTAGAAAAACTTATTCAAATTTATATTTTAAAATTCCATTCAGCATTACCGAAATATTGAGTTCGCAAATTTCATACAAGGATAAGAAAGAAGAAGTGATAAGATTATAAATTATATACTTTAGCGGGAAATAGGTTGCACAAAATTGATTTCCTGTATTTAATGATTATAAATATTATCAATATCAATTAAACAAATTGAAAGCTAATACTTTTTTATCAATTTATTTTAATCTGTTGATTAACATTTCAGTAATAATTTTAATTGAAAGGAATAAAATAATGACAATAAAAAAATCTGCAAATAAGAAAAAAAGAGTAAAACAAATTTAAAAGTGTGCTAAAGTTAGTTTTATTAATCCTATTTACAGATATCTTCCAAATAGAAATCAATCCTTTTTATCTATGTAATTAAACATTCGCCCTCACTGACCGATAATAATTAAGTCTGACTTGGCTCATCAAAAATCACTAAATCCATTAAGTTTGTCAATTCATTAAAGCAATTTATTATTAATTTACTTTATCACAGTACTGACAAATTTATACTAATAAAAAAAAATTTTAATGTAGATTTTTTTTCAGTACTACGAAACTATTTTTAAGCTCTATATTATCATTACCTAATATCTAAAATTTCCAAACTTTGAATACGCCTAGAATTCAAATTTTGACGTAAAAGTTATAAAGCATACAAACGCTGCAAATGTTGCATAACAAGAACGCTTTTTCGGAATTTTTAATCAAAAGACAAATAATACATGACAAAAAAAAAACTTAAAATAAGTGGATAAATATAATTGTTATATTTTTCCCTGATTCAATAACGTCAAGATGTAAGAGCCGCCCTATTGCTTAAAAACTTCTTAAAATATTTAAGTATTAATTTGAAAATACATAATTTTTAATCACATAGAAATTTTTGAACAAAAAAAATGACAGTTTTACAAATGCTGATAAATTGCTACGATAAAAAAATCAACTGAGTACTGAACTATTTGCATTAAATTCTAAACAGAAAACAAATTATCAATTTAACCCAATAAAATATTTGCAACTCTCAACATAAATTTTTTTCATTAAATAAAATATTTTTCACGCAAAAAAAATATTGAGAATATCGACCAAAAGTTATTTTCAAATTTTCTTCAAAAGACGTTGCCAACTTGATATATTATTAATATATATTATTAATATTTGCGAGAAAAAAGCAACGTCATTTTAAAATATCAGCAAAAGAAAATTAAACAAAAGTTTCAATTTCATTCATCCATTCTTTCATTGTTTTATGAAAAAAAAGAAGAAAGCAAACAAAATTTTAGGAACGAAAATGAATAAAGTAATGTAAATTTTCTGAATGTTAAAAAAAGTAAAGGCTTAGATAAGTTTAATTTCTAAATAATCTTGTTAGGAGTATGTATATAATCATGTCGGTTTAATTTTTATTCAATTTTTAAATTCCATTTCTTGCTTTGGTAAATGAAAAAACATAGAAGAATTATTAGACATTGAATTTTACTTTATTTCTTATTTTTTTGAAAAGATTGAAATGAAGCCTCAAAGGAATTAAGAAATTAGTAAGTATATATTCCCATGATAACAGTTGAAATAACAAGGATGTAATGAGGGCAATAATAGGATGGATAAGGCAAAATATAAAGTAGATTTTGAAGTACCACATTTACAACTAAAAAAAATCTCGCAAGAAAAAACATTTTATTATGACCGAAAATATAATTTAAAAAATATAAAAAAAAAAAAAAAAAAAATATTGCAATTAAAATTTTTCGCTTTCTACTCTATTTAAGTATAACGCATCAATGGTAAGGATAATAAAGTAAATTTTGAATTTAGGAAATACATCAATAAAAATTATTTTTGATCAATGGAAGAAAAAAATTGCTTTTTTTTAAATTAATAAAAATTATATTATTAAATATTCAATTTCCTAAATTGTATATAATAAATAAATATATTAAAAATAGCAAAAAAAAAGGAAAAAATGCGCA